TATATATATATATATATTGTACGTATATAATACATTTATGAGACACATTTTGTAAAGATTCAATTTTAAAAGCTAAAACGAATACAAAAGTTGTTATATAAAAATATTAAATATATAATTTATCGCTTTATTTAACGTAAACTGTTTTTTACACTAACTTTTGTTTAGATTTCTAGAATCGATCTCTTCAAAGATTCTATAAATATATCAACATTCCATATAATAACTTTTTCATGTAATTTAAAATTTTCCTATTATCACATTCAAAAAAAAAAAAAAATATAAATAAAATATCAAATTTTCTTATATATTTTCTTATATATATATATGTGTGTATGTGTGTATTGTATAAATACATACATGTATACGTATAAATTACACATTGAACCAATATAGCCGCCAGCTTACTGGTTAATACTATGATGGAACGTTGTATTGTAGGCTTTTGGCTGGATTTATCCCCTATTATAATGTCGGCGTTGAGTGTGTTCTCGACGTAAATAGGCCCTATCGCTGTCACGTGGACAAAGCGCGGACCGACGTCCCTATGACGGCAACGCGATACCTCCTCCGGACAATAATCATAATAATCATAATCATAATCATAATAATCGGAATCATAATCGTCGCGCGGCATGGCGTACATACAAGAGGGACACTCTACACCGGCTCTCTCTCTGTGCCCCCGTAGTTGCCGTTGTGGTTGCCGATGATAAAGGCAAAACGGCGTACAGAGAACAGAAAGAAAGAAAAAAATGAGAAAAATGGAAAGGGTAAGAGTATGAGTAGTATAGACCTGATGCACGTTCACGCGGCTTCCTCCTTCCTTTCCATACCTTCCATATCCCTTCTCTCTCCCCTTTGAATAGGGAGCAACCCTCCCACGGCCCCCCTCGGATACATCATCGGATCTGAATATGGATTTCTTTCTTTCCGACCACCGCTTTGTCGAATTATTATTCTCTCTCTCTCTCTCTCTTTCTTTCTCTTCCCTCCCCCCTCCCATATGCACTTAATACACTTTTCTACACAGAGTGAACTGGCTAATTCGTGCACCTGAATAATTACTAATCTATATTTATTATTTAGATTATTGTGCATTTGATTGGAAATGTTGAGTATTACGATTAATTGCATTAGGTGTAGAAATTGTTGTATGATGAAAAATTATAGAATAACATTTTGATAGAGAAATAATATAAATATGTAGGGAATGATCATAAGAACATCTAAGGGCCATCGAAGAGTTTTTCAATTTGCTTTGGCTAGTTTTTATTCATTCTTTTAATTCGTTACATTCTGTGACGAATTGAATGATGAAAAAAAAAGTGAAAGTTGTAAAAAAGTAAATGATAAACAAAAGTATTTTGAAAAATGCCTTGATGCTTTAACATGAATAAGGCAAAAAGCGATTGATTAGACAATATAATAATAAAATGCACTAACAAAGACACAAAATGATTCTTAAAAGATACGAATTAATAAATATATGCCATGAATGATATGATGTTTTAACAGCATGGTTTCATTCAGACAAAAATATTTAATATTTGTATATATAAAAAAAATTAGTATGCAAACAAAATATTAAATTATTATATGTTTTTTATCGATAAATATTAGAATATTTATCTATGACTTTAATTTAAAAAAAAAAAAAATAAACGAATTTGTTTAAGAAGAAATTGTATGTCAAACTCTAAACTAGATATAGATTTAGATATATATCTAAATCTGATATAATATATATGAATAAATTTTCTTATTTTTTCTTCTTTCCTTTTTTTAGATTTAATTTCATGTTTTTATTTCTTTTATTTTTTTATTCTCCCTAATCATTATCTCAACTTACTTTTCTGCATATACCTTTCTCCGAACAGAGTGTGCACTCGACTGTTGCATCCTTTTCTCTATCCGTCCTGTCCGCCTTTTTTCCCCACTACTCACATTGGTTATCTAGCGCGACGATGACATCCTGCACGGTATCGTTTGCCCGTGATTCGATCTCGACCGATTTGTTCGGGTAAACGGGGTCCGTTCGTCGGATCGAGTTTTTGTGGTTTTTCGATCGTCTTCAGCGGTCGATTGTGGTCAGAAGTGAGGGGAAGATTTCCTTTGAGGCAGTTTTGTTTCTGGGGAATTCAATTAGGGGGATAGCATATTGGGTTTTGACAGTGGTTTCAGGTTGATTATTGTTTGAAGTTATTGAATTTTTTTGTAGAAGTTATGTAACAAAAGCGAGTGAAATAAAAATATATATTAAATTATTATATTATGTGAAAATTTATAATGAAAATTATTAAAATGAGATCTTTTCTTTTGGTAATTTTTTTCTTAAATTCTAAATATTTATATATATATATGAAATAATTCTCCCTAAATTTATTTTATAAAAAATTTTCTGAAATTAAAACTCTCACGAGTCCCCATATAAAATTCCAATGTTCCATATAAATATATATATCAAAATCCACATAATCATCTTTTTATTTCCCTTTATTTCTCTTCCATCTAACCTTGACCACGTTAGTTGATGAACTGTCGATATCTTTTCCCCATAAGAACCAGTCGAACCATATCTGTCCACCTATTCGCCAACCGCCTATTGATTGCAATATTGCGCGACTAACACGGTATTTAAGCCGACCAACAAAATCTTCCATTTAACCATCGGCTTAGCCTTTTCATAAACATCGATACTTCAAATGACTGGGATGATCCTCTCGTGGAGATCAAAGTCGTCGATGACGGCAATACACTTGTACTTATCTACGTCTTCATCATTTCGAATTTCGTGATTTTTCGTAACGCTAAAGAAGATAAATATGTAATTCCCTAGTATCGGTTTTTAACGACGATAGAGTGATTGAGGCGTTCTCTCGGAAAAAAGTGCTATAAACCGTGACTAAACAAACCCGAAATAGCTAGGTTATGTCGAGAAGTTTGGCCCGCAAACAAATAATAAACGTTGCAGCAAAGTCTGTTGCTCGATTGTCGGCCTCGTTGGATGACTCATGTGATTTCCGCGCGGGAGATTGAAATTGTTGGCGAAAGATACGATGGTGATCAGAAAGAGAGTTTTGTGGTGACCGGTGTAGTATTTTGATTTACATTGTGGTTTCCTAGGGAATTTAAGGGAAATTAATATTGGCGGTGAATAGAAAGAAGTTTGCCGATTGATTGCAAAATAATTGATTAAAAAATTTAAAAAATTATTATATTAAAAAGATTATTTGAAAGATGTTTAATGATTTTTAATAAATTAAAGGAAATTAATATCTGATAAATAGACCTTTAGAACATCTTACAAAATTAAATTAATGAATTTTAATTTTTGAATCAAAGAAAAATATGTATATTTTTTTTCATATCAGGATAAAATCCAAATTCATTTTATTTTTATAATATTATAATTTTGAAATAATTTTGAAAATAAAATTTTTAATTTTGATTCAAATTTGTCATTTATTTCTTCCATTATTATTCATGATATATTATAAGATAAAGGATTAATTATTATAAAATATCAAAAATTGTACAAAAGTATCGAAAGAAAGAAGTTAACTTAAGAGATGAATTATCCAAAGAATTAATAGCATAATCGACCTATCTTTACCGTTCTTCATCTATAATTTTGAATAGCCAGACGCTTCGGGAATAATCAAGTTCGTGGATAGATTAAAATCTTCTCAAACTCGCATTAAGGAAGCTTGAAGGTGCGTCCGCACGAGAATTGGTCACTCCCTGGGCGTGTGTCGTACGTGTGGAAGTTGACGCGACGCCTTGTTCCCTTAAACGTTGCCCACGGGGTTGCAATCATCGTTCCCTGCCCCGGCCAAGGCCACACCCTCGATTCTCATTAAGATTTACCGCCTAAACGACCGCTACCTATGCTCCAGAGGGGCCAGCTTCGAAAAATAATAGAAAATGACGCGGCCTCTTTTTATTTTTTTTACTTTTTCTTTTCTTTTTAAGATCACGATGTCGATTAGCGTGAAGTGGAGGAACATATCTAAAATCCTATCGACTTTTTCTCTTTCTCTTTTTTTCTTTTTTCTGAACTACATTTTCTGATCTTTCTTTTCAAAATTATATAAGATTGATACAAACAGATGGCATAATTAGAAAATTTCTTAACTTTAATATTTTTTAATATTAAAAGAGATGCAAAAAGATATACTTGATAATAATTTTATAATAAAAATTAAATTCTCTTTATATTTTATATTTAGTTTGATAATTAATATATTTCATATCATAATAATTTCTGAGTAATATGGAATTAATCAAAGTTTAAAATTGAAAATTTATTATTGATAATTTTTTTTTTAATTCTTTACTTAAAATGTTATGAATTGACAAATAATTTTCATACCATGTAGATCTTTATTACCAAAGATTATTTTTATTTTTTATTTTTATGTAAAAATATGTATATTTTATATATACCTATCAATTTTTTATTTATTCTCTATCTATTATCTATATAAAATAATATTAGAATTTATAATATAATAAATATATAAAAGATAATATAAAGAAGAAAGATCAAAAGAGAAATATTTATATCAAATTTAACTCTTTATAAAAATACAAAGGGTTAAAATCTCACTCCAGGGCAATTTTTTATCAAAAGTTCACGACACTTTAGTGAAAGCGCAATATAAGAACTATAAGAGGCGTGTATACATGGTATATATCTTGGTGAAAGCGTGTCAAATTTAATTCCTCGTAAAGCTCCATTAATTTACGGGTGGTCGTGGCCACTAGGAAATCAAACGTGTTCGAGCATCCGGTTCAATTATCAAATTTATTTAATGCCAGTCGCTCATAATAAGTACCCTCGTACAAAAACCTATACTTTGATGTGGATGCGCCAAAATATCTCTTCTCCATCCCTGTAAGAACAACCCTCGTAAGAAAAATAATTCATTAACTTTTCGTTAATGATTAACCTGTCGTTAAATCCATTTCATGCTCTTACAAACTCTTTCGAAACTTGGCATTTTTGTTGATCAACAAAATATATTTTCTTATTAATTAATGAATAATTATTAATTATTAGTTATTAACATTTTAATCTTTTAACAGTGATTCTATGAATAATGTGTATATAATAAAACATGATACATGAATCTTCCATAAATTATTGTGAATTTTTTTTTCACATTTTGATGATATTTTATTTTTAATTCATATTACACATACATAAGTTAGTATTATAATTTCATATAAGTATAAATGTCAATGTATATTCTCATTTTATCTACAATGGATGTGCTAATTAATTGTCTTTTAAGATTTCCTATTTCACTTTATCGTACAAGCGATTTCTATTGTCGATTCTTGTTGTGGATGCTCTTAAACATGTATTGTCGAGCATGGGTTACCCTAGCTATTGCCCTTCGTCCTTTTCCCCTCTATAATTTTCACTCGAATACCTGGTCTAATTATAGGTGGTTCGTCACGGCGAGAGTTCCTTTGTGAGTAGCCTCGGCAGGAGCGAGGCTACTGAGGAGCTGTCCTCTCTATGCTTCATGAAAATATAGGGTTGGCAAGTAATTCTTGATGTAGCATAAGAGGGAAGAGAGATTCCATAGATCAAGAGCGATATAAGAACGATATCAAATTTAATATGAAATTTTTTTTAGATATTCAAAAATAAGTATCTATTGATCCAAGTAGAAGAGTGTATGAAGTATCTAATAAAATATTTGATTGTTAATAGTTTTTTTTTATTTTATTGTGAAAAAAATTAGAAAAAAAAAAAAATAAATTCCAATAATCATTCAACTTTTTAAATTCCCAGTAAACTTTTCAAATTTATCTTCGAGAGAGAATATCAAAAATTCTGAAAAGAGGAACTATACAGGTTGTTAAAACGAAATAGATAAAAACATGAAAAATAAAACTAACACAAAAGTTGATGTACAAAAATGTCGAACAACGCTTATTAAATTATAATTTTGTATTGGATGAAATGTGAAATAGAAATAGTCATCATTATATCTAATTTACTAAAATTAAAATTGTTCATAACATAACAAAAAATAAATTTTAATGAAAATTTTCACATACAAGTTTTCTTATAACTTTCAGAATTATTCTTTAAATCTTTTATTTTTTTATATCTATTATTTTATTTCCTAATATCCATTTTATATCTATAACAAAAAAAAAAAGAAAAAAATAGATAAGATTTTTATAAAAATGGTCAGATAATCTTTCATATAATAACGTTGCTTCCTGGATTGTTTCAGGTATTTGGGTGTGGAGCCGCGATTGAACAGTGGATTGAGCCCTGGAAATGGTGGCGATGGCCAAGCGCAGATCATTGGCGCGGGTGTGATTGGGCCAGCGAGCGCCGAAAAGAACTGCAAAAGCACGCACCTGACCGCGAAACAGCAGGCGATATGCTCCCGCTCTCCGCCAGTCCTGCAGGTACTTATTTATCGTTGGCGTCGTTACCTCCCTTTGGCGAGGGAGAGGGCCAACCTCTCTTTCTCGCTATTCGGATTAATAGGTGGGGAAGCACGCGGCTAATTCGACTCGCTGGTCGTCCAGAGGCCTGTTGGTCCAACGTTTATGACATTTCTTACGCATCTTTACACTTCTGTTGATTTTTAAACATAGATTGAATTGTTGAATGGTTATTTCGTGACATTCTTTTTTTTTTTTTTTTCTATTGAGAAAAATGTATTGTCTGTTGTTAGAATTTTTGGATAAGTAGAATGTTTGAAATTGTTGTATTTTTAAACCGAGATAAATGGTAAGTTTTTATTCATTTTTATTTTTGTTTAAAAAATGTTGCTGGAAAGAGATTATCGATTTTGTATAAGAAACAAATAAAAAATTTTTGTATTTTTTTTAATTTTATTATTTTCGAAAATTCAAAAATTTCGATATTGATTTTATTCCATTTTATTTTCTTAATTTATTTTATGCGATTTTTTGCAATATTGGTTTTTTTTATAAATATCTTTGGTTATATTAATTTAATGAATTATGCTTATAATCTAAATTTTTTTTAATAATGATAAAATATTAAAAAATTGAAAAAAAAATTTTCATTATAAAAAAATTTGGATTTAATAATATAATATATATATCTCATGAAATTTTTTATCTTTCAAGATTTTTTAATATTTCTACAATGACTATAATTCATTATACAAGAAAAATATAAAAATTATTAAAATTTCAAATAATGAAAGGAATTTTTCGGTGATGAATTTTATTTTTAACGAAACGTGAAAAGAATGTATGATTTTTTTTAAAGTTTAATTCAAGAAAGTTAAGTTTAGTAACACATAAAATATTTAATGTGCGGATAATAATCAATTTATTTTCTTAATTTATTTTATGCGACTTTTTGCAATATTGGTTTTTTTATAAATATCTTTGGTTATATTAATTTAATGAATTTATTTTGCAAAAAAAATAAATAAATAAATATAGTATAACTTTGAGATTCAATTTTGCCAATTATATGTTCGTACATATACGATATAAAAAAGAATTCATAAAATTTAGAAAATTTAAATAATATAATATTATATCAAAATACAAAATAATTGCTAAAATAAAATTTAAAATATAAAATAAATACAAAGTGAATTTTTAAATTTTTTATACAAAAAATTAAATCTTAATTTTGTCTCTCCGTTATTTAAAAAATCTAGGAAATTTCTACAAATTTAAAATAGATTAAGAAATAAAAATTGAAGAAAACCTACATGAGATATGTAAATTCTCAAGTCTTACAAAAGATTATAAAAAATAAAAATCTTAATTCATTTAAAATTTAAACTGGAAAATTTTTATTACTTTAAAATATATATTAGATATCAAAAATTAAAAAAAATATATACATATGGGATAAATTTTCAAGTCATACGACATTACAGAGGATTAAAAAATAATCATGGATCGTGAAGGGGAAATTAAACGTCCGTGTAAAATGACGCGAGTGCACTGGTGAATTCGCGCGATTCTAAAGAACTCCCGGAATGCAGCGGTCAAGTTGTAGCTTTCGTTTGCCGCGCCTGCAATATTTAATACTCGAGCTCTGGAACAGTCAGGGTCTTCAGTGAACCCTACACGACCTCCTTTCGAGACGGCTCGCAGTCGGGAAATGAAGTCGCGAATTCTGTGATCTCGCATCGAGCTTTGGATCCACGTGAAACTTCATAAATTAGTTTAAAATGACAAAATATCCGTAATATATAAGGTGAATTATATAGTTTACTATCCTAAGTGATATATATTCTAATTATTTCAATTATTTTATTAATATTTATTAGATTAATAAAATTTTTTTTTACTGATACAATACAATTTCAAAAGATTCTTATAGTAATTTGATTTTCTTTGTTTTTCTATTTTAAATTCTATGATATGACTTTTTTCTTAATTGTCAATTAATAAATATCAAAATAAATTTATAATATTTAATTGTAAATAAAAAATTAAATTTAAATTAAATTTATAATATCAATTTTAATAAATTTAATTTTTAAATTAATATAAATACAAATATTGTTTTTCATTTAATAAAAAAATAATTATACATAAAGAAAGAATTATATTT